CCTTATTTTTGTTTCTGTTTAAAACTAGCATGACTTCAGACAGTCCACAGAGAAAAGTCAATTGATGTATTAACCCTCGAAGAATGCTACAGTAAAACAATTAAGAATCTACTTCTAGGAAAGAAAGCACAAGACCAAGCAATCAGCTTATTGAACTGCACCATCAATTTAGGAAGTACCATTTTGGGCAAAGAGAGAGAGAGAGAAGCAAGTGGGTCATATCTCTAGCAGTTATGATAAAAATGACAGTATCCACTATCCATTTCAAAGAGGGTAGGGAGCCAAATGTGCACACATGAATTACACTGCACTCATGCTTCAGTGTACTCCAACTTTTCCATATCTGTTTCTTGGCGTAATATTGATGCCAAATCAGCCACATCTCTCATATGCTTGCTACCATTGTTCCAATGACTTCAGGCAAATAAGGACTAAAGACAGTACTGGCATTAATCCATGACACAATCATGTACGAAACTCTAGGACCAAGGGCCATAGTTCAGATTCATTGTCTGTGCCTTGTTGAAATATAATACAAATTGTGCCTTACTGAAAGTGTTTCCACAGCTCATCAGATACTTGCTACTACTATGTATTACAGACATTTTTCTTAGGTACAGGCTAATGGAACTAGTAGGAAATCAACTTCGATTTAAGAAAAATGGAGTTAAGATACTTCAACTATTGCTTATACAATGCTATATTTGTTAAACTGTTAGGATTCATGTGATTCAAATCATATGCATTTTCCAACTATTCTCTTTTCTAAATGCTGACCTTCAAATTATTAAATTCTAGAATGTAATTAGTTTGAGTCTAATATTCTTTCCCCCCCTCCGTGACTTTGTATACTTATGGGACTTTGTAAGGCAAATGCACAATCTCAAACAGGCCAACAAATAAAAAGCAAATAGTGTGCATTATAAAAATTCTTTTGAATGAGTTTTTGAACTATTCAAAACTCCATTGAATATAAATGATTTTTGAGGCTTGCAAAAGCATCCTATTATAGCAAGACATTTTTCTACACATTATACTGTCAATTCCGATACAGTTTTTGAAAGGTGTTATAAATCAGATATTAAAATTCATGTTGGATTGAATCTCAGCATGGAAGGACATAGAGGAAGGCAAAAAGTTTAGAACAGATCTGTTTAGCCATGTTTACGTACAAAAGTTGGCGGGGGGTGAGAGTGGGGGGATAGTATTGTGCCAGGATTTTCAAAAGCACTTGTGTGTTTCTGATAATCATACTCAGGTGCTTTTCAATTTTTATAAGTCAAGAGGTGCACTTTTCATTATGAAATTTGGTATGTGAGCCCATGTTGAGAGGTTCAGTTTCTTAAAAATAATGATGTTGTAGGGCCCATCCCTGCCCTGACTCAGACAAATAGTCTGACTCGTGACAAGATGGGCCATAAAGTGTATCCTCGTTTGACAAGATGGCCACTGTTGTGTATCCTCAGTAATTTATTTCTGACAGTGCATGTTATCTTTTTCTTTTTATTCTCATAAGTAGGCCACACTGAAGTCACTGCATTAGGCAAGCAGGGTTTGGCCCACAGCTGATAAACCTATCTGGTTAAAAATCCCTTTCTTAAAAAGTTCTTAAATACTTATGTATCTGAAAGATGCATGAGCCATCAGGCAAATTATCCATGTTTTGAGAAGAGATTTAAAGACTTTTAAAATTTGTCCCTAACATTAGGCGTCTAAGTCCATATGTAGGTACCTGAGTAAGTGCCCTGATTTTTAAATATGTTGACCAGATGTTCTTATTGATTTGGCCTAAGTGTCTGTCTGATAGAAAAAACACTCTAATCACAATAGATGAGATTCAACATTTAAAACTCCCAGTTTGGATGACTGGGTAGCAATAACCCTTAGCTATGGACGTACTGCATGTACTGCAAGTAATAGTCCTTTTGGAGCCAGAGAGCCTGAATCTGATCTTGCACCAGTGAAAATTGTAATTCTCCTGAAGTCCATGGACTCACACTTATGTGACAGATTCAGGCCCACATAGTCTCTCAGGGACCATAGAGAATTTTTAAGATAGATTCTATAGATACTTTGAGAGTGCTTTTATTTACACTAAGGCCCCTTGTCATAAATATAAAGGGAAGGGTAAACCCCTTTGAAATCCCTCTTGGCCAGGGGAAAGCTCCTCTCACCTGTAAAGGGTTAAGAAGCTAAAGGTAACCTCGCTGGCACCTGACCAAAATGACCAATGAGGAGACAAGATACTTTCAAAAGCTGGGAGGAGGGAGAGAAACAAAGGGTCTGTGTCTGTCTGTATGCTGCTCTTGCCAGGGACAGAACAGGAATGGAGTCTTAGAACTTTTAGTAAGTAATCTAGCTAGGTATGTGTTAGATTATGATTTCTTTAAATGGCTGAGAAAAGAATTGTGCTGAATAGAATAACTATTTCTGTCTGTATCTTTTTTGTAACTTAAGGTTTTGCCTAGAGGGGTTCTCTATGTTTTGGAATCTAATTACCCTGTAAGATATCTACCATCCTGATTTTACAGGGGGGATTTCTTTATTTCTATTTACTTCTATTTTTTTATTAAAAGTCTTCTTGTAAAAAAACTGAATGCTTTTTCATTGTTCTCAGATCCAAGGGTTTGGGTCTGTGGTCACCTATGCAAATTGGTGAGGCTTTTTATCCAACATTTCCCAGAAAAGGGGGGGTGCAAGTGTTGGGAGGATTGTTCATTGCCCTTAAGATCCAAGGGTCTGGGTCTGTAGTCACCTAGGCAAATTGGTGAGGCTTTTTACCAAACCTTGTCCAGGAAGTGGGGTGCAAGGTTTTGGGAAGTATTTTGGGGGGAAAGACGCGTCCAAGCAGCTCTTCCCCAGTAACCAGTATTAGTTTGGTGGTGGTAGCGGCCAGTCCAAGGATAACGGGTGTAATATTTTGTACCTTGGGGAAGTTTTGACCTAAGCTGGTAAAGATAAGCTTAGGAGGTTTTTCATGCAGGTCCCCACATCTGTACCGTAGAGTTCAGAGTGGGGGAGGAACCTTGACACCCCTTTATGCTGCTCTGACAGTGTAAAGGGTATTTAAAGTGGATGTCAGTGCAATTTGCTGATGTCATGCAAAGGGACCTTCATGTCACTGACGCACCAGGACTTTTATTTATTCTACTACAAAAACATACATCCCCTGTGGTTCCCTGTTGCATGGTATGGGAGGGAACAAATCCACAATGAAAGTCACATGGGGCATTTTGGAGGGGAAGGTGGCTAAATGGGATGCCACCCCCTTTCTTATTTTTCATTCTTCTGTCTGACCCCATGTCAGAAGTTAGCATATACAGGGATAGCAGGAAAAATCCATAGAGTGGCATGCTTCTTTCCCACACCCTCATTCTAGACAAGCCATAGGAGAACTCAGAGAATTAATGCCTGCAGCACTATTAAGCCCCATTGCATGCTCTTCCATTCAGTTATTGAGAACAACTGGAAATGGTAGATGCTGATCACAGCAGTTGGGTAACAGAGATAGAAGAGGTATTGCCCTTCAAGTCTTGCAGCAATCTTCAGGGTTAGGGCCCTCAACTGACTTCTTTCTCCCTGCACCTTCAGCCTCTGTTGCAGTTGGAGTACGGGTATCCTGCCCTTCACTTTTGCTCAGACAGGCAAGTATAGGCCATATGCATTTAAAACCACAAATGTAAAATATCATTGTCCGACTGAGAAGTTACATAGAAAATTAAGGCTGAAAATTCATCATTAATTCACCTGTTGTGCCTTGATATTGCAGAGAGAGCTGTAGACAAAACATGGTCCTGATCCTGCCATCCTCGGTCAAGTAACATTCCCATCCCATGGGATGGTGCCTGAGCAAAACTGCAGGATTGGGCTCCATGGGTGTGATCATGAAATGGGAGTTTTGCCATTTTGCAGGGCCCATATATGTGCTGCTTTATTTATAACAGGTTGAGTTAAATAGAAAATAGGAATCCAGAAGTTCAGATTATTCCTGAATTTCCTTGAGTTTGTGGGTTTAAGTCATAATTTAACCATTAACTTTTTGTTTTCTAGTTACTATAGTACGTATCTGCAGGTAATTACTGCAGACATTGTTTTAAAATAAACCTACAGATTTGCATGATAAGCCTTATTTTAATGTGCCTGTGTTTGTCTATTTTTTTTTATGTCACTGTTAGTCTCCTTTGTATCTCTCGCCTGTTTAGGATTTTTTTCAGTGCCCACAGAAACATCCATCACTGCTGGGAAGCAGATCTCACTACAGGCTGCCTGTGGCATAGCCAAACCAATGACAGAGAAGATTGTTCCAGTTGCTCTGAGTGAAACAAGTCCCTTCCCTGAGTTATTAGCTTCCTGAACCACCATTACTGGTTTTTGTTTTTAGTAATGACATTTAGAAATTTCCCATATGAATTCACAATACACACCTATTGTAACATATATCATAAAAAATCTGGGGGTATTTTTTGCTTTGAAAAGAGTTTTGATATGGCAAAGAACTGAATTTAAAACTTTTGGTACTGTAAGCACACCTCAGTGTGCAGCCAAATTCCCACTGATGTTAATTGGAGTTATGTGCTGTAGAGATTAAAATCAGTATTTACCCCTTAATTTTTATTACTTGATATAGCTGCAGAACCCACATTGACCTCCCCAACCAATAGGAAACGTGGCATATTTAGTAATAATAACATTTGACCTCACAGCTTAACACAATTGTATTAAATAAGTATGTGCTTTACTGAAAATAGTTCTTGAGCAGAATGGTCTTACTAATCCTGGGCAACAAGTGGAAGCAAAGCTTAATTACAATGGTTGTAGTTAAAAAGTCAGCATTAACCAGCAGATACCACAAAGTTACCAATTATTTTCTTTTCTCAAATATGGAAAAACTGGTGTCAGATACAACTGTGTGATTCTTGTTGACAAAATGCTGACTTTTAAATAGTGACTGTTGTATCTGAGAACTTTGAAAACTATTAAACAGTAAGAAGTCACCTCACCTGCTTGGCGTTGTCTTTAAGCAACCTTTGATGTATTTGTCAGTAGCCTCTTCGTGAGATACATCATCCACCTCCTGCACTGTTTCTTTCTTATGACAGAGTAGTATGTAATTTTTGTCATCGTTGTTTGCCCAGAATGTACCAACAGATGTCTCGTAACGTATACAGAACTCAACTTTAGCTCCATTTCTCTGATAAGGAGGAACCAATGAAATCTTAAAGAAGAACTGGTCAGTTTCACCATCACAAGAATTAGGCACATAGTCTGCTAAGATGTCATAGTAAGTTAGCCAGTCATCTAGTGACATTCTCACATATATCAACTTTTCAAAAGATACATTTAGAACTCGAATAATGCCCTTCATACATGTTATCCCAGGTAGGAACTCAATTGACTCTAGAAGTACTTTCTGTACACGCACTTGTTGCAAAAGGTCTTCTTGTGAGGCAGGTAATATAAACAGTGGAGAGAGAAAATATTCCTCCGCAGTTAAAACTTTAACTTCTAAGTCATCGTTTTGTGATGTGGCTGGAACTTCCCAAGTATCAAACTCTTTAACAGACACAAGATCAAAGCCGAATGCATCAGCAAACGAAACTTTTCTTGCAATGGTAGATGGGGTTTCTGGTTCCAAGTCTTCTGAAGAAGCAGAATTCCGCCTTCGGGGAAGGGGGGAGAAACGAGGCTTAAGGGTATCTTTAATATCTTCATCTTCTGAAAGGGAATCATTTAAAGCAGAAACTTCTAATAAGTTATCCCTTCTAAACTGACTAGGTTCTTCAAAAGACTCCATTGGGCTCTCTGATATAAACTGAAAGAGAACTCTGCAACTAGTGGCAGCTGATATTTGAGACACTATGATTTAAAACAAGGATTAATGTTACAGTTGACATTGAAAGAAAAGTGAGTCAGGTCTATTAATACGTGCAGTGGTGTGTAAACTATGTTGGACTCTTCTCCAAAGGCCTTAAATCTGATAGCATTAGTGTTACAATGTCAGACATAAGTTTTAAATAATGCATTGACTTTTTTTTTTTTTTTAGGAAGCATCTGCAGGCAAAGCACCAAGGTAACATTTAAAAATCTGACTTCTTTGCATTGTCAAAATGTGAAAATATAGATATTTTTATACAATCAACTTATATTATAAAGCAAATGTATAACATAGCACAAATGTCAAGCCATAAATCTCCCATTGGATGTATGTTCTGTCAACACAATGTTTCTTTCCTGTGCATAATTTCTACTTTACTTCTCAAGGACATTATTTACATTGTGTCCAAATACAAAAATGCAAGGAACACAGAGAACCAAATTGTGTCCTGATTCTATACTATGCAAATTCACAGGGCCAGATTCGGGAGCTATGCCCATTTACACCAGGATCTTGTCATCAGAAACATTTGCCAATTTTAATACAGCCATAATAATATACATTCAAATGAACCCAGAATGCAATTAAAAGGTTAAGTGACTAAACTGAAGATCAAGTTATGAGGAATCACTACAATTATGTCTGTTTATTAACTGCTGGTTACGATAAGATCTTTTAGGGGTAAATTGTAGCTAGCCCATATTCAGCTGCATGGATACGGAAACAAGGACCTCCTTATGCAGCCACCCAGAATCACAGCCCCCATGCAGGCCCTCCACCTTTTCTGCAGAATGCCTCCCAGTGCTCCCACTGGAGTTAAATGTCTCTGCATCACCCTCAGCATGGGACTGAGGATAAATGCCATAAATAAGCCATCAATCAGTCAGCATTTGGATATCACTTTCAAGGCACTCTGTACATAGAAACGTACAATGTTACACTGATCAGGAGGCAAAGGCCATGACCTGGCAACACCACTGTTTCCCTATCCATGTCTACTAACTGTCTTCCCCTACTGCCCCAATGTCACTCTCTTTCCCATGAGCCCCCTTTTCTGACAATACTGCCTTCCACACTGTGAGTGCATCTCTATTCCTGTTTGCTATTTCTCCATTATTCTCACCTCTGCCATTGCCTCATCCATTGCTGTTATGCCTCCCTACTCCCCTGTTGTCAATGTGTCTCCATTGATACTTCCTCTTGTGACAGGGCACATATAAGCCGTGCTTCCCTTTATTTAAAAAAAAAAAGTAAAGTATTTTACCATAAATGCCTATCCCGCTTGAGTATCACTACGGTAAACTGGGCTATTGCTGTAGAATACTTTTTAATAAGGGGGCTAACATACTTTGCAACAAGGAAGAAGATGCGGCTTAGAGAGGCTCTGCACACAGGACAGTAGATCTGTGCAGCATAGGCCTGCAGAGAATTGATGACCGCATGCTGAAGATAGAGAGGAGGGAGATCTCTGTTGGGAGCCTTCTGGAGTCCCAAAGAAGCAGCCACCATCTTCTCTCCCTAGGTAAGTTCTCATGTGACAGCAGTTTCTCTTCTGCCCTTGCTTATGAGGAGCAAAAGCAGTGCATAGCTGCAACAACCTATATCCTGGCAGCTACATGCCCTTGACCATTTTGACTATGTGCAATTTGGGTCATGTGAGGCCTGTGGTAAATTGTGGCTGTCTTACACCCTCTTCGCCTAGATAACCTAAGAAAATATTCCAATAGCAATGATATAAACCATTGGAGCTTACTTACAGCAGTGCTACTGTAATGATTTGGTCCTTTTCTGTTGCATACTGCAATTTTCCCCTTTTATTTGTTATGAAAGCCTTTTTTTTAAAGGTTTCAGAGACCCAGTAGCTTGCAGACAGGGATTAACTCCCAGATGAACTCTCTGGAAGGCCACACAGGTGGGAAGGGCTGGGCTAGGAGGGCAGTGAGGAAGGCAATCAGGAGGTAAGGGCTTATCTTGTGCCAGGCAGCCCTTTTAAAATTGGTTCACTGTTAGACAAAAAGGGAAGGACAGGTGAGTAAGCAGAAGGTTACCAAAAGCTGCAATGGCAGAAACTCTTGCTAGACTATAGGGAAGCCTGAAGAGAGATGGGCTTTGGGGAGGGGGTGTTAAGCCTATTAATTCAGAAAAAATGCTCTGTCTGGGCCTGCTCCAACACCCAAGGAGTAAATGGGAATCCTTACATTGACTTCAGTGGGCACTGGATCAGACCCTCTGTTCGGCTGTCTTGGCCAACTCTGCCAGCGTAAAGAGTGCTACATCACATGACAGCTGAAACTTAAAGGAATTGACGGAAGGGCACCACCAGGAGTGGAGCCTGCGGCTTAATTTGACTCAACACGGGAAACCTCACCCGGCCCGGACACGGAAAGGATTGACAGATTGATAGCTCTTTCTCGATTCTGTGTGCATTACAAGAAGCTTTAAGTAGAAAGCGTTATCCTCATGTCTGGATTTCTGTGCTCTTGTCACATAGGTCAGACTTTTATTTGCAATTACTATTTGTTCTCTTCAGTTCCTTCTGGAAAACAGAAATAGACAGTGGAGGGCAAAACATTTCCAAACCCAAATAACATCAGTTATGTCACAGTGTTTTAACTGAACAGGATTAGCCTGTGGTTCTGAAACGCTACCCTGCCGCTTGTGGAATTCATCCCCTAGTTGTTTCTAAACAATCCTGGCTTGATTTAGACTTTTAGTCTTGATTTAAAGAGAGACAGCACTTCTGAACTGAGGAGCAGTTTATTTCCCCTCTGGATCGCACCAAAGGTATTTTCAACCCATTTTCCTGGCACAACTTGCCTGAGCCTCCTTCTCTAGGGCTTTAGCTTCCCTTTTTTTATCTACCTTTGCATATTATTAAATTCAAATGCTGAATTAAGATTTAACCAGTTTCTGTATATTCTTAAATGCCATTTAAGTAATAGTCTAACCACTAAAAGCAATTGGGCCAGAAATAGGATCACTGTAAAATTTAACAAGTCCCAGCAAAGCTTTCACAGCAGTACAGGGACCAGCTTCTCCAGCACAACAAACTGTGCAGTGAGCATTCCAGGAGGGGCTTCATGGAAGCATCTTTATTAAAGCCACAAGAGAGGACTTCAGGCCAACTGACGATGAGCAGCAGGAACCCTGGTCAAACAGTATGTTCCCCAGTGCGCTAGAAAAATTGTGTTCACCTCAGTCCAGTTCAACTCAGAGTATGAAGCCAAAATAATAGGTGGAGTAGGGTGAGACTATAGAAATGGTTTCCCCATGAAGAACAGACTACCTCAGACAGTTGCTGGATGGTCATAAAAGCTGGAGGAGAGATGGTTAAAAGGCCAAAAGGGTTTAGAAAACAGGGTCTTGGCATACCCTGAGGAATATCCTGAAATCATTGTTTTTTTAAGTCTGTGGTCTTAAGAAAGAATGCACACATCATGTTCATCTGTGTTCTGCCAAGATATTCTGGCCTCGTAAACACTGATTTTAAGAGCAACACAAGTTAATAAAGGCTGTAACAGCAAATTTGTATCTGTGCAACTCTTGCTATCTTTATATTCTACCCTCAGTTACAGACTCTGAGTATCTCAGTGGAGCTGCAGAGAATTTGGACCTCCAGTGGCCAATTGGTTATCAGTTCTGTTGATCTCTGTGAGCCAGCATAGAAACCAGTCCATTCTATGAAACCTGTGCTGGTTTTACAGTGCTAACAGAAATAGTAAAAATATTTTAATAATAAAAGTAGTACATACACTGAATACACACAACACATTGCAATCAATAACAAAACTCCCATTGACTGCAGTGATACCAGGTTTTTGTCGCAAGGAGCAAAGCAACTGTGTGAGAGAGCCCCATTCTTACACAAAAACAACGAGGAGTCCTTGTGGCACCTCAGAGTCTAACATGTTTATTTGGGCATAAGCTACCCAGTGAAGTGGGTTCTAGCCCACGAAAGCTTATGCCCAAATAAATGTGTTAGTCTCTAAGGTGCCACAAGGACTCCTCGTTGTTTTTGCTGATACAGACTAACATGCTACCATTCTGAAACCTGTCACCATTCTTACACAGTCACTTGTCAGGGTAGAATTGCCCATTCCTGTCCCAGTATTCACCAAGGCTATCTTTTCAAGAAAACTCCATTTATAGCAAATTATAACAAAATCCAATTCAGCTAATCCACCTCATGCCCATTACAAATTGTATGATATCTTTCTTCTTGCCATACCTATTAGTCTTTGACTAAAGCATTATCTGAGTTAGCCTGAGATTTTCCTCCTCTTGGACAGAATGTGTTGACGCAATGATGGCAGCTTCCAATGTTCTATCAGCACTTTAGACAATGCATTACTAAATGCATTGATAATAATATGTTATAACATAATAATAATAACAATATGCCCGCATGTGTGCTTGAGGAGTAACCTGCTGCTAGCTACAGATTGGAAAAAATCAGTACTGTCACAGAAGATTCTTATTTATTTGTATTACCATATCACCAAGTAGCCCTAATTATGGATCAGGACTGCACTGTGCTATTCAAACACAGAACGAAAAGGTGGTCCCTCTCCCAAAGAGCTTACAACATCCTTTCTCTCTCCTTGGTTCATGGCCTCAGACAATGGGCCAAATATGAAGAATGAAGGCTGTGATAGCAGTTTCTCACACGTTGACCCTGATTTATGCACTACTTCAACCTAGTGGTGAAGAAGTTTGTCCAAGATAATGAGCAGGTGAAGACTATTCTCACCATTGCCTGAGAGTGTTGCAGCCATTTCTGCTACATGTTGACTTCTCAAATGAGGCATCAACATCTCTGCCATAGCATGAAGCAGGAGATGGTGACACAGTGGAATTCCATCTGCCACATAATTAGCTAATACTGAACTATGAACAGCACATAGTCATCCAGAATTTCT